ACACACGCACACACACACACGCACATCCTCTTACATGCATAAAGAGACGCGCACGGCATCATGCGGATTGGCGCAGACAGTGCTTCAAGGCCGAGGCGTCATGCTGCTGCCGGATGAACATGCACGCTTGCTGCTTGAGTCCTTCCCAACCCCTCAACCACGAAGACTGCAAGTGTTCAATGCCTTAGACTGTCCTGTCCTCCCTCCCCTTGCTACACTGCTTCCACTCGCTCGGGCTTCCCTGGTTTTTTGTCTCTTGCGTGAACTCGGACTGTGAAGACATAAGCTCTTACTCGTAGGCCGTTGTCCCCACATGCAACCGTGCCAGGCCAGTTCTGTGCGTGTGTGTCTTGAAACCTAGTAGCAGCTGCTAAAGCCGTAACCCTTCATCTAAACTGCGACGTTCTTTCCCCTAGTCAGCCTTGCCTTGCTTGTGACATGGCCGTCCTCTTGCTGGATGCACTCTCATCGAACTGGCCTTCCATGTGTACCACAAGCTGCTCTAAACACTAAACCCTAAACTTGTAGTTTCGGGTTTAGGGCTTACATCCTGAGCTCCCGCTCCCCAGAGGCTCAATCCAAACCTCTGGAAAGCCTACTGGGGCGGGCTTAGTGGGGATGGTTTTAGGGGTTTAGGGGTTTAGGGGTTTAGGGGTTTAGGGGTTTAGGGTTTAGGGTTTAGGGTTTGGGAGCGTTTAAGGTTTAGGGGTTTAGGGTTTAGGGTTTGGGAGCGTTTAGGGTTTAGGGGTTCAGGGTCTAGGGTTTGGGAGGGTTTAGGGTTTAGGTATGGAGAGTTAAGGGTTGAGAGTGTAGGGCTGCTGAAGCTGCGACGAATACCACCCCCAGACGGCGTTAAGGGCTCCTTTAAGGTTCGCTTAAGGCTTCTGTAAGGGGTTTATATGAAGGGTTTAGAGTTAAAACTCGGACCCCATTGTTATCTCTAGGCTCTAAACTCTAGAACTTGCAGACGCTACCAACCCCAAAGCCCAAAACGCTAGAACTCCATGCAAAGCCCCCAAGCCCGACTCCCTAGATAAGAAAGACTGGGTTCCTGTTAAGGAGTTTAGTTTAAGTTACCATAATAAGGGTCTGTAGTAAGCACTGTGGTTTCTTTATTCTGGGAACATAATTTGAATCCCTTAACAAGAACCGAGAAAAAACAGCTAGACGTCCCAGCCTAGAGCCTAGAGCCTAGAGCCTGGAAACAACGAAGCCCAGATGCCCGAAATGCCACCCAAAGCCTACACTCTAAACCCCAGAGCTCACTAAACCCCCAAAGACCCTAAACCGATAAAGCCCCAATCCCCACAAACCCCCGAAACTCTTCTAAATTCCGCGGGCTTCTCTCTCTCTCTCTCTCTCTCTCTCTCTCTCTCTCTCCGTTTGCGTCTCTGCCTTCGCCTCTGCCTCTGTCTCTGGTCATCAAGGTCACGAAGCTAAGCAATGGCACAAGCGCTCGTTGGTTTTCCAGGAATGAGTAAAGGAGCATCATTGATGGATTATGTTTTGACATATGAAAAATTAGTTACCGAATATGAGCGGCTATCCAACAGTCGGTACGACGACAATTTGAAAATCGGTACCCTACTCAAGGGAATACCACAGAACTTTCGACAACACATTATGGTTGACATCAACGACCGCACAACATATTTGGGTCTGGTCCGGCCGCCCTCAGAAACAAGACCAATCGGTAGAAATGCTCACAGTCCCGATGTTACTATATAGTTGCACACTACAGCGACGATAGAGCCCTCGATAGACAAAGCAGCCGTGGTCAAACCATTCAGGCTTGTATTCCGTATGTAGGTAGCATTAGGGAGACCTCTTCAAGGGGACCTTTCTTAACCCTGCTTCTGTCTCTCTTAAAGGGGACCCTTTTGAGATGGTCTATTTTCTCAAGGGTTCCCATAATCCTACCTCTTCTGGGTTCTTGTTAAGCAGTTGGCTTAAGTTACCATAAGAGGGAGCTATAGTAAATAGTATGGTTTGTTTATTATCGTGACTTCAATTAAATACCTGAACAAGAAACCAGTTTTACCGATGGGTCCCCAGGTGATGCGACCAGGAGGTTGGAAAGCCTACCTTGGCGGCTCCCTCGCCGCGCAGGGGCCCTCAGATTGTTGTGGGTTTGGGATGTTGGGGGTTTAGGGTTTAGGGCTTTAGGGGTTTAGGGGTTACCCAGGTTGTTGTGGGTTTGGGATGTTGGGGGGTTTAGGGTTTAGGGCTTTAAGGGTTTAGGGGTTAAGGCTTGGGAAATTGGGTAACCCTCGCCCTCAACCCAAATAATGCATGATATTGGCATTTCTTCAGGCTTCTATATGGGTAGTTCTCTAAAGGTTCCGTAAATCAAGTAGTACGGCACCCTCATGAAAAGGACACCTAAAGGGACCCTAGTTTAATGTAGAGAGCTACCCAGATTTGGCTTATATGAGCCGTGCCAGTAAATACTCACAATGCTGGCTCTCGTGGTATCGCCTGCATTTCTCTCCGGTTGGCGCACGAGCGGAGGTGGGAGTTGGTCGGTGGCAGGCAGGTGGGAGGTGGGAGGTGGGAGGTGGGAGTTGGCAGCTGGCAGGTGGGTGGTGGGAGGCAGGTGGAGGTGGAGAGGTGGGTGGGAGTGTTGGCAGGCGAGTGGGAGAGGGTGGGAGGTGGGAGGCTGTGCGAGGTTGGGAGGGAGGTGGGAGGCGACAGGTGGGAAAGGAGTTAAGGAGGTGGGAGGTGGAGGTGGGAGTTGGCAGGTGGTAGGTGGGAGGGGGGGTTTAAGGCTTAAGGGTGGGGTTCAGGGGTTTAGGGCCCCAATGAGGGGTTCAGGGTTTTAAGGGTTTAGAGTTGAGGAGCCAAGCTCGAGGCTCGAGGATGCAGGATTGTGGGGTTCGGGGGTTTTAGGGCGGGGATCCAGGGTTCGGGGGTGATGGTCAGGAACGTTAGGAATAATGCTGATAACTTTTTCAGGCTTTCTACATGTACACCCTAAACCCCAAAACCCTAAACCCTTAGGGTAGTTCTGTAAATTAGGGACCACAGGGCAGCGTACTGTGCCAGTGCTTTGCAGTGAATTTGCATTCCTATCAAGCAGTTGTGTCTTGACTGGAAGTGTGAAGCATTGGGGAAGCGAGCAACCCCCGGAGGTTTTTGCAGTTTGTGCCGCCAAATGCGGCACAAACGCCCCTTCACACGCCGTTGCTGACGAACGGCACTCCTACGGCGACCTTTCCGTGGCTTGGGCCGAAGCAGTGCCGCAGTGCCGCGAAAAGCAAAGGGTGAATTGCCCGGCCCGGAGGTGCGCGAACACTTGAAACATCATCGCCCATTGTGTAAACAGTGGGCCGCCACGCCGGCCGGCATCAAGTGGCATATGACCATGCATCACCCTGCATGGACTGACTTGAGGACCCGGTTGACCTCCGCGCCACGTGTTCCAGGGTTTGGGTGTTTTGGGATGTAGCGGCCTGTAACATTTAGGCGTTCTTGCTAGGGTTCCTTAAAGGGCTCCTTAAAGGGATCTGTATGGTTTCTTTAACAGGGGCTTTAGGTATTACTTAAAGGATCATGGGACTTAGTATCTAAAGGTATTATTAGGGCAAATATACTACTTATAATCGCTCATGGGTCTCTGGGGTTCAGGGTTCAGGGTTTAGCGGGTTTAGGGTTCCTTACAGGGCTCTTTTGACGTTAGCTATAAGGGTTCCAGAAGGGGGGGTTTAGGGCTACTTCAAGGATCATGGGACTCAGTAACAAGGGTTATTAGTCGGGTAACTATACTTATACTTGCTTATAGCCCTAAACCCTAAACCCTAAACCCTAAACCCTAAACCCTAAACCCTAAACCCTAAACCCTAAACCTCAACCCCCCTACAGTTTAGAGGGGTTAGGGTTCTACAGGTTCCTTAAAGGGCTCTTTTGGACGTCATCTATAAGGGTTCCACGGGGGGTTAGGCTTTAGGATGTATAGGGTTTGGGGGCCAGGGTCCAGGGTTCAGGAGTTAGGATGTGAAGACCGGGACTGGAGGGTTGGGCTTGGGGGGATTTAAGGTTCAGGGATTTAGGGGTTAAGGATTTAGGATGTAGGGTTCAGGGTTTATGGTTTAGGATTTGGGGTTTAGGGTTTAGGGTTTAGATTAGGAGTTGGGGTTTAGGGTTTAGGGCGTAGGATGTCGGGTCGAGGAGGTTCAACCCTAAACCTGAAACTGCAAGCCCCGAATCGCTAATTGGGCTCCACGCACGGTGCCAATACGTACAACCTTGTGTATAGCGGGGCCTTAGAACCCTAAACCATGAACCCTAAACCCGAAACCCTACACCCTAAACCCTAAACCCTAAACCATGAACCCTAAACCCTAAGCCATGAACCCTAAACCCTAAACCCTGAGAGAACCCCTTTCGGTACTCCTATAGAAAGCCTACGTGAAGCTTTGGACCGTCGAGAAAGCCTTGCTTGACAGACTTGAGAGAGCTCAATGCCTCAATTACGGAGTAGGCTTTTGGCTTGTGGGCTTCTGGTTATGATCGAAGCGTATGCCTGAGTACAGGGGCTCTCTTGATATGATCTCAAGTATGCTCCTCAATAAAGGAGAGCTCTTGTTATGATCTACACCCGAATGAAGGGCTCTCTTGCCCGAATTGAGAGGTATTAGAACAGGCTCTCAGCCCTGTAGAACCCTTCACATCCCTAAACCCCAAACCCTACAC